TGTACCTCACAATCTTCATCAGTGTAAAAGACGTGGAGAAATCGGGCTAATTTTCGGGTGGTCTGCAACAGACGGATCATTTTGAGCTCAGAGGCAAGTTGTTTGCATGTGCTGCTGCTAAGGTGATCTTTCTGCGACGAGGTTCGTCCAAATAAGTCGTTTCCGTCGAGCTTTTTGCTGATACTTTACTTGTGCTATATTTATCTGCGTAATTGGGCGAATGACGAAGTGGCATTGAACGGGGGCGGGTCATTTTGCAGAAAGAACCAACCAGTGATAAACAAGACATCAAACCGGCATCCAGGAGGCAGTACGCAGTCTTTGAAAAGGCCGCCAGATTGCTAGTAAGATAATTTAAAGAAGTTCGTTCGATGGAAAAGATCAACGATCGCAGAGAATAAACGCCCATGGCAAAATGATGGGGAGGCATTCACCCAGCTGTGGATAGAAAAATGCTATGACGTTCGTCCATAAATTCGATGAGATAATCCAGTGACAGTTGTGTCATGTAAGTCGTTAAGATCAAAGGAAAAATTGATAAACATAAAGTATTCACAGAAATTCAGCTAATTTGGCACTGTTTGAAAAGCGAGTGAAAAAATTTCATAAAATTATTTAATAGGTTTATGGCTTTTTGATTCGTGAATTACCAAACTGCCTTTACTTCGTGTTGCAGAGGTCTGTGCTGCGGCCATACGATGCAAATCATGTCGTTACTTGGAGGCCTGATGCTGGGGAACCGTTTTGAGGTTACATTGCAACAACCTCAACTATCCTTTAACGGACGAAAACAACAAGTCCTAGGAAAGTTGGACAGTGGCCATCGCACGGGCAAAATAGATAAGCAGACCGAAATAAATTTGACCATTGTTTAACGCAGCCATTAGCTAGAAAGATGAGTGAGGTTTGGGATGAAGAAGGTCCGTGAGGAAAGAGCCAAAACATCTGACAATCACACAAATGACCAGCTACGCTATCCCACAAGATGTTTTGCTAGCTGAAAGTCTGTATTTTATATCATATATCAAAATATGTTTTCGCACTGGAATATATTATGTAACCCCTGGATTCTTCAAGGCCAGGCAACTAAGGGTGTGGCTCAAAATGACAAAATCTGACTTCTGAGTGATAGCGCTTTTCTCAGATGATTAACATTTTACATTTACATCCAAAATAATTTGTTAGGATTCGAGGAGTTGGGTACATGCCGAATCCGCAATGATCTTGGTCAAATTTTAAATATTTACCGTCTCCCATTTGTTTGAATGATCAGCCTTCGTTGGTACGGAATTTATGGGTTGTTGAATAAGAAGAGTAGTGTCGTGTGTTGCGCTTATGAGTCTTATATACTAAATGATGAACGGAAAGTAACTTCAACATCAGTGCAATATGCAATGGTATGTTGGAGCTGGGGTAAAGTTCATGAATCACGCCGAGTAGACTGTTCTAACTACATCCCCAATCATCGACGCTGTTTTCAATGCATTTCGGCGATGGTTAATGTAGAATTTTGTGTATGTTCTCTCGCCCTATTTAAAGATCTCCATA